GATGAGGAGGAGCAGTACTCAGCATACTAGTCAAGGCGAATGGTGACAAAATAACGAAAAATAGGGGGAGGAAGTCTAAACGCTTCGGCTTGCCCATGTTGGGCCCCTCTTGGGCCCGTCTTGGGAAAATCTTGTGCCGCCCTGGGAGCCTCTGGGGAACCGTCATGGGGTCCTCTAGAGTCGCCTTGTGTCGTTCTGAGGGGCATCTTGGGCCGTCTTCGGCTTTCAGGACACCGGAAAGGCAAGAACGCGGAAGCCTTTCAGAAACCCATGGGCAGTACATGCACTTTGCCTCTGAGGACCCTCTTGGGGTCCTCTTGGAGCTCTCCTCGGAAGTCTTCGGGACTCCGAGAGCCGTCTTTGAGCCGTCCTGGGCAGTTTTGGGAAATATCTTGGGACATCTTGGTGGCCTCTGTGGGATTCTAAGGCGCGTCTTGGACGCTTTTTGAAGCCGCCTTTGCCGTTTCCTATTTTTCTGGCCATCAAAGCCACCTCCTCCTCCACCTCCTCCTCCTTCCCAGGGAGGCGCGCCTTCCCATTCAGGGTCCCAGCCCAGCCCCCGTCGTGGAAATCCAGTTGCACATGCAGGCCAAGCTGGCGATGACCTTGCCGTCGCTCGGACGTCCATTCCCTGTGCGTTTCTCGGTTTTGTGCGTGTTTTTCTTGCTCGGTGATCCAGGATGCTCTTCGATGGTCCTCGCAGAAAAAAAATGCATACGTTCGAGCGATACCAAGTGTCCTCTTGACCTCGTCAACTCCCGCCCCTTCCGCCCCCTCCCCTCCCGCCGCCCCCCCTGCCCCCTGGCGAAGCTTTAGGTGCATTGCTCAGGCACCCTCGCTTTGCAGCGCATAGACGGCCAATCTGGGAAGCAGTTGTTAAACAATATGGCCTTTCCATTGACCCCAAATTTGCTTAGGTGTGATATGTGATTGCCGTTTCTCCTGCGCGGCAGGCATCTTTCCCCTGCTGAGCCGGTGTGTCGTGCGACAGGGCTGGCGAACGAGCGAACGATTGCATAGCACGCGTTGGCACAAGCGTGCGAGCTAACAAGATCTGCTTCCAGCGTAAACCCAAATTCGCCGGCCCAACGGGCCAGAGGCGTGCTAAGATCTCCGGCAGCAGGTCTACAATGCGTCTACTTCGCGCGCGCGGGGCGGCCTCGGGGGGTCCCGGGACAAGAAGCAAAAAGTACCCCACTGAAGCCCGGGCGCAGCCTGGGCGCAGCGCCTCAGAGATGGTTTTCCTCCTGGGTTCGGCCTTCCAGGACGCCCAGAACGCTCGAAGAGGCCCGAAGAGGCCTCCAAGACAGCCCAAGAAAGCTCCGAATCGCCGAAAAGGCGCTCCAAGACGCCCAAGATGGCCGCAAGCCAGCCCAAGAGGCCCCATAGAAGCCCCAAGAGCGCTCCAAGAGGACCTCAAAGAGGGCCAAATCTAGCAACAAATCCTTGAACTTCTTTGTGTTTTCCCACACTTCTCGTGCTCTCGTGTTTTCGGACCTCCGGCGCTCCAGGCTGGCCCCGGAGGCCCCCAAGACCGCCCCAAGACCGCCCCGAGAGGCCCCCAAGAGACAGTCCAAGAGGGCCCCGAAACGCCCCCCGAGGGCCCAAGATCGCTCAAGAGTTAACGGGCGAAGAACGGTATAAAAGAAACTTTTTCGCCGTCGGTGCCCCCGACAGCGAAAAAAAGTTTATTCTATACCGTTCTTCGCTCGCTGAAAGAGGGCCCCGAGACGGCCGAGCTCGAACCACCCATCCGAGCCTTCCGCCCCCGGGAGGCCCACGAGGGACCCCGAGCCTTCCGCCCCCGAGCCTTCCGCCACCCTTTTCGCCACACGAGCCCCCCAGGAGGCCACGAGAGGCCCCCAAGGCCCCCCTCTGGGGGCCGCGCGAGGCCCCCAGGAGGCCCAAGAAGAGGCCCCCGGAGGCCTCCAAGAGGCCCCCAGAGGCCCCAAACGCGCAGCGATTGAGCAAAAGAGATGGCCTGCGGCGCATCCCGCCACCGTGCCCTGGTTGTATGTCAGAGGCCTCTTGGGTGTCTGTGGGGATCTCTTGTTTTTTGCTGCTTTCTTTCATGCCAGCGACACGCGATGGCAAGGATCAAAGGAGCGGGCCCCCGAGCGTCGGGGATAGCCGTAAAATGACGCGACGCAAATCTTAAGAGGTTTGAAGCTGGCTTCGCGGAGGGCTCCCGGGATTGGAAAATCGTCAAATTCCACCAGCCCTTTAGGGCGTAGGTGGTCTAGCGTGTCTTGTCTTCCATCTGCCCCTCTTACTCCTCGGGGAGGAGTTTATAATGTTTCCTTATTTGTATACACCCCTCCCCCACACTGCCGGCAGCCAACCAGGAACCATGCCGACTCCATGCGGGCCCGCCCCCCGCCATCCCTGTCAAAAACAATACAAACCGCACTCTGCCTCCACGTTTGGAGCATACGCGGCCCACCCAATGCGGCCCCCCCCACCATCCCTGTCAAGGAACAAAGTACGTACACTTTGGGGCAAAATCTTGAGTCATGTTCGTGAGGCCCGCGAGCACTTTGTATTGTTTTCGACAGGGACGGCGGGGGTGCCAGCATATTCCCTGCTGTGCGCAGGGCTACCATCCCTGACATAAAACATACAACATGCACCTCGCGGCTAAATCTGGATCGTGCGCGGCCATCCCGCGATCACTTTCAAATGGTTTCTGACAGGGACGGCGGGGGTGGTGGCGCGTGGCCTGCTGTGCGCAGGCCCACCAGACACAATGATGGGCAGTGGTTTTCGACAAGGATGGCAGGGGCCGACATGTTCCCCGATGTGTGCTGTCACGTGCGCAGGCGCATCTGACGCACTCTGCACGTGCCCCGAACATGGCGCACCTGACACGGCTGGAGTGTGCGGCACACCTGGAACATTCGGAGCATGTGGCGCATCTGCGCATCTGGCGCACCAGGCTTTCCTGGCACGCTCGGGCCCCTGCCTGGCACGCGTGGCGCACCTCGCCCAAACGTCGCGCACCTGGGGTCGGTTTTGGTTGCCAGTAGCTGTCTATTCAAAGACGACCGCAGAACATGCTCAGGCTCGGGTGTTACTTATGTGTTGGGAGGGCGGCTGGGAGTGAGCTAGACGGCTTGCGGGCGGGTGGGTAGATTGACCCTTCCCCCTCCCCCCTCCCCTGGGCCTGGGAGGGGAGGGCCGCGGGTAGTTACACCGCCCAAGATGGCTCCAAGAGGGCCTCAGAGAGCCCAAGATGACCTCCAAGACGGCCCAAGATAGCCCAAGATGGCTCAATGTGGCTCCCAAGATGCTCCAACAAGTCCCAAGACCACTCCAAGACGGCTCCAAGTGGCCACGGAGCCTCCCCAGGAGGCCGCCAATAGGCCCAAATCCTTCAAAAACCAACGGACAATCAGAGATGTTTGCATTCTCGCCTCTTCGCGTCCGATGGCCTTCCGAGGCTTCCAAGAGGGCCCTCGGGGAGCCCCAAGTCGACCCCAAGAGCTCCCATGAGTGCTCTAAGAGCGCCCCAAGGGGTCCCAGGAGGCGACTGTTGGGGCTCCAAAGGGGAGAGGCAAGCTGCCCTCTTTTTTGATGGAAGTCTTCCAAGATGGCCCCAAGAGCGCTCCTAAGGCTCCCAAGAACGCCGGCGCCCAGGAGGCCCCAAGAGGCGCCCAATACGCCTCCAAGAGGTCCCCAAGAGACCACCAGGAGGCCCCAAGAGGCTCCCCGAGGTACCCAAGGCACTCTAAGAGGCCCCTGGGACCGCCAAGAGGCCCACAACATGTTCCAAAAGGCATCCCAAAAGCTTCCAAGAGACATCCAAAGAGACTCTGAGAAGCAACTCGCTTGGGCATCGCTTCTGGATGGGCTGGTGGGGGTACTTTTTTGTCGCAGCCGCAAGCGAAGGCGCCAGCGGCGAGTCGAGTCAGCTCGGGCTACGAGCACTGGGTCGCGGCCACGAGACAATGGTCAGGCGGCGAAGGCAACGTCCGGGCCACGAACGAGGCGAATTAGCTACAACGGGCACAGGCCGGCCGGCCCGCTCACAAAGCAGCCGCGAAGCCGAAGGGGAGCTGACGGCAGGGGTGTCCAGAGAGCTCGAGCACGTGCAAATACAAAATGTCATGGAATTCGGTGCCTGTCACAGTATGAGACGTGGACCAGGATGACCGAACTGGTGGGGATACGCGAAGCGTCAAGAATTCGTCTTGGCTCTCGCATTCGTTACATACTGCACACATCGACTCAAAGCGTCCCAAGTATTCTATTGTTCACGGTATCGCAACCAATCCCATGTTCCAGGCGACGTATATATTGGAAGGCCCAACCGGCCAAATCCATAATATTTGCTCGTCTTGGCGACCAGGCGCGACAGGCGGCTGTTTGAAGCCAGCGTGGACCTTGAAATTTGCTTCCGAAAGCAAGGCGCGAAACTAGCCAGAAATAGATTGGACTGCATGGTTGCCAAAATCACCAAGAGGACAGAAACTAAGAGGAAGCAGAGAGACAGGAAGAGCGGAAGGGGGCAGGAAAAGAAAAGACGCATATGCAGCTGGGACGCAACAGGGCAACGCAAACGAACAGCGAATCTAATACAAAGAACTCGTGAATAACCACGACCTCTGAGCGTAAATCATCCTACAGCAGGATGGGCGTGCGCAGTACTGGGTGATATGAAACAAACACGAACTTCAAGTCAATGTGTACCCTATAAGTTTCCGCCCTTCAGAACCCGTACGGCGCTCGCTCTCCTGGGGAACTGTCAAGTGCACACGAGTCTCCTTCAAGACGCATGGTGCACATCGATCTAACCCTGAATTGAAACGAGCGTGGCAAGTGCTGCCCGCCAGACTCGCCGTCTACCAGTGTAGGCAGCAACATGCTGCATAAAAAACTGGTAAGAAACATCCGCATGATGCCGTGCGGAGAGGCGGTCTTTGACAACACCATTGACGCTTGCAAGTTTGCAAAGCCTGAGTTCACCCTCGCGATCTGCAACTACATAGACATATCGTGCCTCAGATCATAATGGCACTGGACTGATGGAAGACGTCCCAGAACGCCTCATCCACCTTCGTGGGGTTACAGCTGGACGGGAAGATGGAGTAGCCAGCCTTCTTCTCCACATCAGAAACTGAGTTGAGAATGTACTTGCCGTCCTTAGTGATGCCGCATTCCTTGCAGTCCGTGTTTTCGCCAAGGAAAGCAACGGACTGACCACTCTTCATATCACAAAGGGCCTTGTAATAGTACTCTGGGACGGCATCACCTTCAACCATTGTGGGACGATCCGCCTGAATGACACCGGTAACGACATAGAGCTCAACGTTGTGATTGACGCAAAATTCCCGCGTGTGCTTCTCAACAAAAGCCCAGGGGTGCTCGTTGAAGTAGGAACCCTGCGGTGCAACGTTTGTCATCATGTAGGTGTGTGCCCAAGCGCCATCATCGGACTGATCCCATGTGAAGGCATTGCTGGGAGCTAAATGGCCGATGTCATGCATCGAATCGAATGCCTTGTCCTTAGAGTGCGCCTGCTGGTCTGCTGGCACATCTGGATCGAGGGTGAAGCCTTTGCGCTTATATGCGTCATGCTTCTGCTCCTCCGGCTTCATAAGGTAAGCTGAGAACTTGGGACAGCGGATCTTCGTGTCGTAGACAGTTGCAAAGAACGTTTTGTCACCCTTCTTTCTGCACAAGAACGTGCCCTCTGTGTCTGGGACCTTACCTTCAGCAAAGTGCTCACTGCATTCCTTGGTAGCGGCAGCTGTTGCTAGGGTACTGGACTGATGGAAGACGTCCCAGAACGCCTCATCCACCTTCGTGGGGTTACAGCTAGACGGGAAGATGGAGTAGCCAGCCTTCTTCTCCACATCAGAAACTGAGTTGAGAATATACTTGCCGTCCTTAGTGATGCCGCATTCCTTGCAGTCCGTGTTTTCGCCAAGGAAAGCAACGGACTGACCACTCTTCATATCACAAAGGGCCTTGTAATAGTACTCTGGGACGGCATCGCCTTCAACCATTGTGGGACGATCCGCCTGAATGACACCGGTGACGACGTAGAGCTCAACGTTGTGATTGACGCAAAATTCCCTCGTGTGCTTCTCAACAAAAGCCCAGGGGTGCTCGTTGAAGTAGGAACCCTGCGGTGCAACGTTTGTCATCATGTAGGTGTGTGCCCAAGCGCCATCATCGGACTGATCCCATGTGAAGGCATTGCTGGGAGCTAAATGGCCGATGTCATGCGTCGAATCGAATGCCTTGTCCTTAGAGTGCGCCTGCTGGTCTGCTGGCACATCTGGATCGAGGGTGAAGCCTTTGCGCTTATATGCGTCATGCTTCTGCTCCTCCGGCTTCATAAGGTAAGCTGAGAACTTGGGACAGCGGATCTTCGTGTCGTAGACAGTTGCAAAGAACGTTTTGTCACCCTTCTTTCTGCACAAGAACGTGCCCTCTGTGTCTGGGATCTTACCTTCAGCAAAGTGCTCACTGCACTCCTTGGCAGCGACAGCTGCTGCTAGGGTGGTGAAGAACGTGAGAGAAAAAACCATTGTTGCCGATGGTAGGCTGGTTCGCTCAAAGGGCTGACGACTTGCCAGGGCCACCCTGAAGGAAGATGACTTGAGCCAAAACCGCTACGGAGGATGTCTGTGGGGATCTCTTGGGAGGCCTCTAGGGAGCCTTTCCGAGGTGGTTCTGGGCCTCTTGGGGGACTCCTGCCTGGAGCCTGTGGCAGGAGAGCCCATAGTCGAATCGATAAGTCGGATCGGCGATCGAAATGAGTCGGATCGGCGGAAATCGGCAGCCGAGTCGGGAGAAGTCGAATCGGCGGAAATCGGCAGGCTAGTATGCCTCCAATAAGAAATCGGAGCCCAAATCGGAATCCGAAGTCGAATCGAATCAGAATCGGAAACCATCGAAATCGAATCGAATCGAATCGGAGGAATCGAAACGAGCCCTGGTGGGGTGCCTCGTGGGGGCCTGCTGGCGGTCTCAGCGGGTCGTCATCGGGCGGAGCTCGGAATGTCGGCTTGTGCTCTCCCTCTGGGGCCTCTCTTGAACCACTCTTGGGCCGCCTTGGGGGGGTCTTGGGTAGTTTTTTTTGTTGCTGTTGTTTTTTTGTTCTCTATATTATTATTATTATTATTCATACATTATTTTTCTTGTATTAAAACTCCCGAAAATGCGAGACCGCCTCAATATAAGATGTACACTGGGGGGGTCTTGGGCCGGCTTTTTTTTGTGAAAGATGCAAAAACGACCCTAACCCTGGGTTGCAAGTGCGTGGTCCGTAAACTTCCTGGGAGCTCCCCAAAGCCAGAGAGCCGCCAGGACGGGTAAGGAATGCTGGGGGAGCTAGAGAGAAGTAGATAAAAGGGTCCAGCACTGCTGCTAGCAGCGCCAGGGGAAGGACCTGGCTCCGCTGGGCTGGCAGCCGCCAGGGAAGACTGCGCTGGAATGCCGATCGCCTCGACAAAATGCAAGCTCCTCGTACCATGATAACGCGACCACCTCTCCAGGCAACCGCGTGTTCTTAGATATTAAAAGTAGGCATCGCCTACAGCACGGCAAAACCATCATAGACAAGATGGCCAGACGTCCCCACCGAGCCTGCATATTCCAGGCCTACCTGTTGCGCTCCGAATGTCGCCAATCTACCGCTAGCCGCGGATCAAAGACGATTGTCAAGGCAGCAACACGGTACAGATCGAGAGGCGAGGAGGACAAGAAGATGGAGTAGGAACGGAGGAAGAAGAGGAAGAAATGACGTGGAGGAGGACTGAGCAAGGCGGACGGCTCTACGCCGATCACACGGGCGCATGGGCGTGGACCCCGAACAGTGGCTCTGCTCATGACGGCTAGCGCCTTACCCCATCAGCTGAAAAAACCGACTAGACAAAGCCATTACATGACAAACAGAGTAACGCACCAATGCAAGAAGCTGCAGATCAAACCAAAAGGTCTAGAAAACGTGCTCAATTTTCTGACAAAGTGGCTGCCCGGCCCTGCGCAAGCCTTGCCAACACAGAACCGTGGCAGTGCTACAACAAGATTCGAAACTGCTCCAGCTTCGTGGAGGTTTCGTGGAGGTTCTGACTTATTCACGCCACGACGTGCAGAATGCTGCATTGAACGTACCCTTCGACGCGCCAAGTCACGGGTTCGAACACAAATGGCTGGCCGATAGCGAAAACCTTGAACGAAAACACAGCAGGAGGATCAACAGGATCAGAAGTACGAATCGCTTCTGGGACACTGCGGCAGTGCTGATGGTCGCCCACCGCCTCGAGCGGGCGGCCCGCGGACCTCACCGTGCGCCGTGTTGCTTCCGCGGCGTGGCGGCGTGGACCTCACTGCGTGCCGCCTGCTCCAGGGGCACCCTGTGAGACGACGCGCAGCGAAGCGCGACGCCGCCGGCCGCTGGGCGCCGGCGGCCCAGCGGGCGCGACGGGCTGCACAGGCGCGAGGCCCTGCTCCACCACGGAGCGGACGTCGTCTGCCTCCATCCTCTGAGCAGGGTCGACCGCCAACATCCCAGTAAGCATCGCGCTGCAGAAGGGGCAACAGAGAGCGGAGCTCTGGGCGGCAGCGCTGCTCCAGCAGGCCGGCCACCGCGGCGGGCATCCGGAAGAAGGTCCGGATGCTCTCGGAGAGCAATGTGTCTTCGCCCTCTGACTGCAACTCCCGCCCCGCGCCCTCTTTGATTGCGAACTCCACCACGCGCACCCCGCAGATCACCTCCATGAGCACCAGGCCCAGGCTCCAGATGTCCGCCGGGAAGGGGTCGTAGGGGGGGTCGTCCAGCAACACCTCTGGGGCGGCGAAGGGCACAGTGCCGCAGGGGCTGTAGCACATCTTGCTCTCCTCCTCGATGACGATGGCGAGGTCGAAGTCGACCAACTTGATGGTGGCGGTTTCGGGCGTCTCATTGACGATGATGTTCTCCGGCTCGATGTGTGTGTGAACTGGTTCATGGTGCGGTAACCGAACTCTGGATTACCGTGCCCGACTCAAGTTCACGTGCTCACTGAGGCCTCAGGTAACTTGTCATATTGATCTTGATTGAGATAGACGCGCTCATCAACTCCATGTCGTTCTTCTTCCGTCACAATGCCCGTGCACGCAGTGCCAGCAAAGTGCCTGATCCTTTTACTGTCAATGACCTGGCTGTGAAGGATACACAAGGGCCGTCGACAGGCAAACCTCATGGTGAAATTCCGCTGCATGTCGAAGAAGAGATGATGCCGTATTTCACTATCCTTGGCGCCCGTGTTGTACTCCTCAATAAACTTGGCGTGCGTAGTGTATCTGAGTGTCGAGAGTTGTTGCCAATCTCCCAATGTCGTTTCACCCAACTTCCAGCGCCCTGGGCACGCTTTCATTGCGTGTCTCCATGCGACGGTTTGTTCTCCTTCTGATCTTCGCAAGTCGATGTCTCTTCCGCACCTTTCACATCTCAAGACGGTGGCCAGCGAATTGTCGAACGGGTTCGGGAAGTAGTGCATGGTCTCGTCGCCCTTCGCCGAGATGTTGTGATAAAGCCGCTTTTCTTCTTTCCGCCAATGAAATTCGTCTTGATACTCTTGAAGAGCTTCCTATCATCGTCGGTCAGCACATCCGCAAACGCAGCTTTCAACGTGTTGTGATTAGGTCTTATTCGTGGACGTTCTTTGATTTGCAGCACTCCGTCCTTCCTCTGACCTCTACTGTGCGGTGTCTGCTTGCCCCGCAATCGCCGAGACCGATGGACTTGAAGATTTCCTTGCCACGCTGGTTGGGCACTGTGTGCTGGTAAATACTGCAACGACCATGGCTGAGGAGCCTCCAGCGCCAAACCCGCCGTAGCAATATTGAAGAGGAGTGAGTTGGTAGCTTCGGGCATAACCATGCGGAGTCGACCTTGAATGCCTGTGGACAGCTTGAGGCTCAACGGGAATAGATGCCGACATTCTTTCAGGGGTGGGATAATGGCCTGTCCCCCCCTCTGCTTTCTGTGATATGCTGTGACCTCGGTCATCTTCACCCCAAACTTTCTGAACAAGTTATTTGACGCTGCTATGAACATCTTAGCCTGTGTCCCTATCGAAGTCCCCGAGGTCCCCGATCGCAATGCCATATGCTCGCCCGTCGCATAGACAAAGTCGATCAGGGCCGCAATCGAAGAAGTGGTGTAGGCTGCTGCGCTCTCGAATCTCTCCGGCGCAGCTGGCGGATTGGGATCGATGTACGTATTCTGCCAATGCCAAAAGATCGCCTCTGCATTACTCAACTTGTATATCCAATCTACTTTGTTGAATCTTAGATCTGTCAGCTTCTTCCCTTGAAGGTGCGGTTGGCCTGGAGGGACCCCCCTCGGTTCCCACCGGAAGTTTGGGAAAACCTATTCTTTTTTTGCCATTGTCCCTACTGTGCCTTCCGCCGCCCCCGCCGATGGCAGGACTGAGGTCACGGTGCGTACTTGCTTTTCTCCTGAGTCACGAGCGCCTGGACCTGGTTCAGATGGCCCTGGGGTGCGTGGTGTGGGTGTCGTAGAGCTCCTAGTACCTGGCCTGGTGGGTGACGGTGTCGCCAGTAAACCTGGTCCACTCTGTCCTGGTAGCCCTTCCCCTCGTTGTTTTCCCCGGAGCCGTCGCCGAGATGGTGCTGGGTGGGGTTCTGGTGGTAGCGATATCGGTATTGGAGAATGTGGTAAGTTCGACTGCTGCTCTGTGTCCTCGCCCATCCCTCCTCCAAAACCGAAAACGTCGGGCTCCTCCTCATACATGGCCTCCTCCGCGTACCTGTCCTCCTCATACTGATGAAGGGCTTGCTCGCTTAGTTCGGCTTGCTGTTGAAGATACTCCTGTATGTGTGCTCCTCGATTGCCTTCCCCGAAAAGTTTTAAACCTGCTGCTGCTCGATGTTGAATCGCATCCAGTAACATGCCCTGTATGACTTGAGCCAGCTCTACCCTCTTTCTGTATATTTCAAGGATCTGCTCGTTAATCGCGTTCCTGAGAGCGGCCTGTACAGCACGCTTATCGGCTTGTTCGTTGTGGAGTCTCGCCTGTCTGCCAGCAGGTGCTTCATTTTCAATCATTTCCTTCGTTTGGTGACTCCGAACTTTGCGTACCTTGAAGTTTTCCTCGCCCTTCATTCGAATGGCAGTCTGAATTCTTCTCCACAAGTCTCGGTGTGATTTAAACTTGATGTTCCTTCTCTGAATGATGGCGCGCAGGCCACGACAGACATAGTCGGAATCGACAACGTACACCTGGCGGGCCCAAGCCCATGCTGCCCAGCGCAGGGCCGCGCGGACCTCCGACCTCTGGGCAGTCTGAACCGAGCCTCGCAATATTTCTGTGGCGTTGTGTGAATGCCCCTCCCCATAAAAGAGGTCCCATCCAGCACGTCGTAGCCGCATATCTGTTTGCCCTGAAGGAGCAGCCCCATCACCAGCTACCACGAGATACCCTTCCGAGTCTACGCTCATCTCATCCCCCTCTTCTAATTGAGGAGGTGGAGGGTCAGGGTCTTCTTGTACTCCCAGTGCAATCTCCGCAAACTTGTT